CCCTTCTCCACTAGTGATGCCAAAGAACCCAAGTTTGCTCTGGGCTACAAACACCCACTCCCTTCCCCAAACTATTTTGTGTCTCGCCCCTGCCCCTGCTCCCTCATCACCAAGGGCTCCTGGGCAAAGCCCTGTTGGCCGAACTCCCAGTGAGCAAGGACAGGCGATCCCAGCTCATCCTGCCCCCGCCTCCCTCCTCCCTCATCTCAGCTTCACCCCCATCCCAGGCCTGGCATGCCTCCCTGTGGTCCAGGCTCACTGTCTTCCATGCCCTGCCCTCTTTTTAAAAAAACACAAAAACGTTTTTATTAATTTTTAGAGAGAGGGGAAGGGAGAGGGAGAAACATTGGCTGCCTCCTGCATGCCCCCTACTGGGGATTAAGCCCTCAACCCAGGCATGTGCCCTGACCGGGAAACCTAGGACTCTCAACCCAACTGAGCCACACCGGCCAGAGCTGCCCTGCCCTCTGGAATCCACCCCCCCGCCCCAGACTGTGCTGGGGGTGAGGACAGCAGGGGAGCAGAGTGTGCGCCCCCCACCCCAGGTTATAGTCTCAGGAGACTCAGAACAGCCAGCCAAGGTGGCCAGTCCCATAGTGGCAGCCCTTCGATCTAGAGACAAATGTGGATTTTGATCAGAACCGGGGGGTGGGGGGTGCGGGGGGGAGCATGCATTTCACACACACACACACACACACACACACACACGCACATGCACACACGCCTCCTGGTGAAGAGTGTGCCAGTGCAGCTCCAAGAAACCTGGATAAAGACCTGCCCAGCCTCGCCTTGAAGCCGCTGGGAGGAGGGGGAGACCGCCGCACCCAGGGGACGGTGCAGACAAAGGCTCCTGGGATGGCAGGCGGGACAGTCTGCCGCTGGGCTTCCCGCCCCTGCCCTTCGCGCCCCTGCCCTTCATGCCCCTGCCCTTCGGCTTCTGTCAGCCTCCCCTCTTCAAAGGAAAACAGCTCAGAGGCGCGAGCCCCTGTAGACCCCCTGGGCACAGGGGGCAGGAGAGGAGGCTCGGCTAAGTTCTGGGGGCAGAGAAGAGCCAAGCACTGCTACTCTCAATAGCACCCAGAGGGGAGCCCAGGGCCCCAGGCCTGCCCAGCCCGAGGGAGCCACCCTGCCGTCCCTGGACGCTCCCGGAAGTGCGGGCCCCACCCTCTGCCTGTAGGGAGGTGCCTTCTCTCTCAGTGTCTGGAAGGAGCTGTGTACCCAGAACATCAGCCCTCACCTCTGCCTGCACCCTGCACCCTGCACCCTGCACCCTGCACCCTGCACCCTGCCTGCTTCAGAATCCAGGGCTTTTCGCCCCTCCCACTGCCACGGGGCTCTCCAGGCTGCTCAGCCCCGGGGACCCCCAAGGGTCACTGCTCCCCAGCACTAGTGACTCACACCTCCTTCAACACCCCCCACCCAGACGACAGGCAGCAGAGCCGAGCCCCCCTCTGCCCCGCTCTGCTCTGTTCTCTGCTCCCTCCTTGCCAGCCAGGCATCCTGGGCAGTTCAATAAGCCCAGCTGCCCAGTGAGCAGCACGGCTCCGGACGCCTCCCGCCATAGCCATCCACTAGGACCACCTCCCACCTGGAGATTCGGGTGCACTGCCCCGAGGGTGGGCTCCCCGCCCGTCCAGGCCCGGCCCGCTCCCTCCAGCCCGGGGCAAACGCACTCACAGGGCTCTGAGGTGCAGGAAGGACTCCGCTCTGTCTGGACTTGGACAGACAGGATGGGGCGCTGGCTGGGTGAGGGGTTTAAAGGCCTGCTCGGCGGTGATGT